TTCGATTCATTTAGTTATATAGCACCAATTCCCAACACACTTCATATCAAGGCACTTTACAGAGACAATACTCTCAGATTGGTTAGGAAAACCAGCTGATTGCATCAAGTCATGACTTGCAAGACATGCTCTTTTTGGATGAGCCTGTGGCAATGACCTTCGCTTGCATTTTTTCATTGACTCATCAGCAATCCCTCACACCGGGCATGCATACAGCGCCAGTGGAGAGGAAAATTAGCTTTTAACAGGAAACCTCCAGCAGAACTAGGCTTACTTTGAGCGGCCAACTGCATAGGCCGACTGTGGTTCAAGGAGACAGAAGCACAGATACAAATGAAGCACAGATACAAAAGATAAATGTTACCTAGCTCTACAGGGACCCCGTTTGGGGAAGGGCTGTAAGTTTAAATGTTTGATTCTAAATATATATTTCCTTGATTCATTATTATTAATTTTGCATTGCTTTGTCACACTCCCTATCACCCTTTTAGTATTTTTGTAAATTTCTGTTCTTTGTCAAGAAAAAATTAATCGGATTATTCGTGATTAATTGATTATTTAAATAATAATTAAGTAATTTAGTAATCAATTATTTCATTATCTGGAGTGTAGAAACAGTAAAATATGCTTTAAGCTGACAGAGCAACCTTTAGAGCAGTAATTATATCTAATGAAATACTTCATACTATCCAGGAGTCTTTTTCACTTCCATTGCCTCGCACTAGAGCAATCTCTAATTTGATGTTTTTAAGCAGCATGAAGGTCAATTCTAATAATATTCCTAGTAGGATAGAAATCAATGTGTATGGCCTATGTGTTACTAGTAAATACAGATTGCTGTACTGCAAGCTGACAGAATTGACAAAGACTCCTTGATAGGTGTTACAGTAAATGTCTTCAGAATAATTGAGCAAAAGTCCATTTGATTCAGGTTTAAGCCTGTTTTGAAATTTTAGGACAGTGTTGACTGAAAATGTGTGACTTGCTGAGACAATTTAGAGGAAATAATCATTCAAGTTTGCAGCGGGATAAAAACAAAGGTTGAACATTGGAGCCAGTAGTCTCTAATGCTGTCATAAAAAAGCTGTCCCTGAGTAAGAAGATTTAAGTCCAGATTCACACTGTGACTTGATAGGTTCTATAAACATCCTCTTATGAAACAAGAAGTTCTACTCTGAAACATGGAGTTAAGGTGAATTCTTTGCCTCTTAAAATGGAAATAATTTTGATATAATGACATAACTGATAATTGATTAGATCACAATATTGGGTGAATTATATCTTTTACCCTGTCTTGGTCACATCTAACAGGCTTAGCAAGAAATGTTGGCTGTCATTCACCAATTAAGTCAGTAAAACGCGGAATGGAAAGCTTTTGCGTGTGTCTATGCCGACATCTAGTGGTCATGTTAGGATGTTGTATGTATAATGCTGACTACAACTTATTCTCTAATGAAGAGGAATTTCTTAAAATTCTAAAAAGGCTCCTCCAGTCCAGATCTATATTGTAGATGGCATACTAAGGCTAAATGAAGTATGTCATATAGCTTTAACAATC